CCTTCCCTTCCCTTCCCTTCCCTTCCCTTCCCTTCCCTTCCCTTCCCCTTTCCCTTTCTTTCTTTCTTTCTTTCTTTCTTTCTTTCTTTCTTTCTTTCATTCTTTCTTTCTTTTGGAAATGTTAGGCTACTAAACATTCAGATGAATAGGTCAGAACACTAAGCACAGACATAGCCTCTCCTCACTGCCACCTCCTGACACACATGTGACACAGCAGCCATACCTACAATGCCTCTAGGGGCAGGAGCAAATACCTTTCTATACTGGTTTTTGCCACACAGATGCAGTAGCCTCCCAGACACCAAGAATAGGGTAGCACCAGATTGGTCACCCAGGCTGTCTGTGTAAAGCTACCCAGCAGCCTTTGAAGGAACTTAAGGCATCACAGCACCATCCTGTTAGAGCCAGAAAGTGCCCCCACCCCCACCCTCCAGTGGGCACCGTTTCCTTCTCCCACCTCCTCCTCTCTCAGTGAGAGAGCTGCTGCTTCTGTTCTAGGCAGGAGGCACCCCATTGCCCTGGATCCATCCCTTCCATACTCTCAAGAATACAGACATTAGGGCCAGAGAGGTTGCTCAGCAGTTAAAAGCGCTTGCTATTCTTGCAAAGGACCCAGGTTCAACTCCCAGCACCAACGTCAGCTGGCTCACAGGTGCCTGAATCTACAGCTCCAGGGGATCTGATGCCCTCTTCTGGCCTCTGTGGGCACTTAATACACATGGCACACATGCAAACAAGCAGGCACACACAAACGCATAAACAAAAATAAATGCAAAGAATATAGATACAGTAAAGATGCTTTGGAAGCAATGTGTTTTGATTGTTTGTGTTGAATTAAATATGGATTATTTAAGTAAGTTCATATAACTTTAATAATTCAACTAAACTTTTAGTAATTCTTGTAAATATCTAAATGTAGTTTACTATTAAATCAAATGGCTTGTATCAGTCAGGGTTCTCTAGAGTCACAGAACTTATGGGTAGCCTCTATACAGTAAAGGAATTTGCTGTTGACTTACAGTCTGTAGTCCACTCCCCAACAATGGTCAGCTGTGAATGGAAGGCCAAGGATCCAGTAGCTGCTCAGTCCCACAAGGCAAGCAGGTGAAGAAGAGTGAATCTTCCTTCTTCCAATGTCCTTATGTTGGTCTCCAGCAGAAGGTGTGGCCCAGATTAAAGGTGTGTGCCACCATGTCTGGCTCTGGGACTTGTTTTGTCGAAGGCTGACCTTGAACTCAGAGATCTCCTTGCCTTAGTCTCCTGGGATTCATAGCCACTGTGCCTCAAGATCTCCATGCCAAGATCCAGGTCAGAAACTTGTGTCTTCCAGCCTCAAGGTCTGGATCACAGGTGAGTCCTGCAATTCTGGATTGTAGTTCATTCCAGATACAGTCAAGTTGACAACCAGGAAGAGCCACTACATGGCTTAATTCTGTTTAGACTTCTATGATCTTTTTAAAAAGTAGTTTAATACGTGTGTGTGTGTGTGTGTGTGTGTGTATGAGTGAGTGGCTTGCATGTGAGTCTGTGCACAAGTTCATGCCTAGTGGTCCTCTGGAACTCAAGTTATGGATGCTTGGGAGGCACCATGTGGGTGCTAGGACTTGAACGTAAGTCCTCTGTGAGAACAGCAAATGCCGAGCCATCTCTCCATTCTGACACCTCACCGTCTTTAACAACCAACTCTTATGAGAGAGCCTCAGCACCCTACAACATGGGACCAAGCATTCTGGTCCCTTGTACTCAGGTGCTGTGGAATAACAACAACAAAAAAAACATAGTGAAAAGGGCTTAAAATGAAATTATTTTGCCATTTGAGAGCAAATTTGTTCATACTTTTCACCACAGAGATCAGAAGTAACCTTGGAAGAAGGTTAAGCTGTGGCATGTTCTAGATGAGGAAATGAAGGGTCAGAGAGCAGAAGCGAGCCCAGCCTGCTCAGCTGCTCAGTGGTGGTGCCAGCATCTGGCTTGCCCTCAGGTTTTGCTCACTTCCTAAACCTCTATCCATACTTTCGATATAGGGCAGCCCGTGGCCAGCTCTGAGCTTGCCTGGTGAATCTTCATTGCATGTCTGTCTAGCAAGAGTGGCCTGTCAGATTTTATAGCTGGAGAGCATATGCAAGGACTGGAATCATCCCTTTACTTACAATGCAGCCTGGTAGAGAGTAGTAGTTAAATGGCTATAATCATGTCCTTCCTAGGGCCTTTCTGTCTGAGCTTAAAGGCAGTGACAGGTTGTGAGGCACCTAGAGACCAGCTTCCTCCTCACAAGGTTGGAGGGAACAGGGTTCTCTGAGCCTTGTCTTCTACCTCTGGAATACAGGATGCTGATGTTTCTGGAAAATGGATCAACAGGGATGAGGTACAAAGGGCATTAGCCTAGGCTTTCTGAGTTGGCTTCCTGGACACCAATAGCCAGGTAGCATCTGTTGGTCACTCAGATTGTCTATGTGTAGCTACCCAGAAGCCCTTGAAAAGTACCATGGCACCACCACCCTGCAGCTGTCAGTGTTGGGTTCTAGGACCCTGCTGAGTCAGGAGAGCGGCCCGCCACAGCCTCCAGTAGGCACATGGTATCCTTCTCCACCCTCCGCATCTCTCTGAGCTGCCGCTGCTGCTGCTTCTGAACATGGGGAACCCCCAATGCCCAGGCTGTATCCTTTCCATTTTGTCTCTCCCCATTTTCTGGCATATAGGTTTAGCATTCTTGACTCTCTTGAACATCACGCTTTATGGCCGTTTGCAGTGCAATTTCGTTCCTGTCCTGCTGTTCAATTTGAATTAAATATCAAACAGATGTGAGTCTTTTTTTTTTTTGGTGCTCTTTTTAAAGAAAAAAAAAGTTTAATATTACGGAGCATGCCCTCCTAAGATCAGGAAAGCCATTCGGAGAAATAAGCCTGCTCAAATTAAAAAAAGAATCGTATTGGTTTAGCTCGAGATGCTTTCAAGTGGTACCTTTCGAGGTGCTAAGGAGCAGCGTTTCCAGCAAGCTATAAAGCATCAGGAGAAAGCAGGGCAAGATATACGGCCTGGGGCCGATGGGGAAATTGAGCTCCAAGAGGGGGCAGCCCCACCTGGGAGGAAGCTCTGAGCCTGGAGATGAGGTTTGCAGATGAGGGTGGGGGAGGCCATCTTCCCCTAAGGCCCTAGGGAGGAGCCTGTGCTTTGCAGCCTGTGTGGTCAGGCTGAGAAGGAAGGCAGAAGGGGTCTTCCATGTGCTCAGAGACCCAGCCTGCCCTCGGCATCATGTCCTGCATCCACAGACTACCGTGGCCCATCTCCTATAGTCAGCTGTTAAAGTCCAAACTGCCTTTCCAGACATGCCAAATGCGATTGTCCCTTGTCTCTGTTACCATCTCTTGGATGGTGGGATCTCTGGCCATTGATGGATCATTGGGAAATGAGGAGAAAGTTATGCCTCCTCTTGGCAGACAAGATCACAGGTAAGGTTGCTCATAACCTCAGTGTCTATGGCCACTGCCCAACATAGTCTAACAGCATAGAGCATCTATTCATTGAAGCGTTCCTCTTGCAGGGCTGGGGCCCATCTCGTGATGGCTTTTCCCATGAGCAGGAATGCCTGATCAGACTCCAAACAACTCTCCTTAATTCTTGGCAGCAACCATACCTGCCTCTCCAAATTATTGGACCTGCCGCCACTCGTGGCTTCCAGCCAGGACCTCTTAAGGCCAGCTAAAGCGTTTCCATGTGGTCCCTTGACACACTGTACTGAAAGACACTACTCTAACTTCAGAGCCGACTGCAAACAGCATTTCCATGTCCAGGGCATGGGGCCAGCTTGTTCTAGACATCTTGGATGCCTGCTACAATGCTCTGCACACCCAAGGTTTGCCTCAGGGACAACATGAAAACACCCAGGGACCTTGCATCAGGCCCTGCTGATGAAACAGAGCCAACACTTTGCAGAGCCAACTCCGCAGGCAGGTGGAGGGATTTAAAGTGAGAAAACCCTAGACTTTGGCATAAGGTACCTGAAGTCTAGAGCCAGGTTCTACCCCTTCCTAGCTCTGTGGCCTTAGTAAGTCAAACATCAATCTTAGCCAGTCCTTTGCTCCCCTACCTCCCCCAACCTGTGTGTGTAATTATATATGTGTGTGTGTAATTATATATATATGTGTGTGTGTGTGTGTGTGTAATTATATATATATGTGTGTGTGTGTGTGTGTGTGTGTGTGTGTGTGTTTGGCCTGCCTGGACACAGTTTGCTCTCAGGGAACTGCCCACAGAGACCAGACACTACAGACAGTTGTGAGACACCATCTGAGTGCTAAGGATCAAACCCCCAGGTCCTTTGAAAGAGCAGCCATCTCTTTAAGCTGAGTGCTAAAGACATCTCTGACTGCTGAGACATCTCTCTAGCCCCACACCCGACTCCCCATTCTGTGTGAGCGCTCATCTCGTGCCAAGGAGGACGGGGTGGCATGTGGAGTACTCAGTACAGTGATGGGCCAGTACTTTAGCACTATAGTGTTAAGTAGTTATCTTTCCATCCTACCTTCAAGCTGACTGGCAACCCCTATCTGATGGTACTCGCTAGGAGGCTAGAGGTTGCGTCAGAGCCAAGTGTCCCCCTGAAGGAACCACAATGATGGCCTCTGGAGGAGTAGGGGACACAAAAGGAGGGGGATGAATTATGCCTCGGAGTTTTGTCTCAGGGAAGGAAGAGATGAGAGGGAAGCTGAAGAAATATCAAGCGGCTGCAGATGCGGAACTGAGAGTGGAGAACTGTTGTTGCTCCAACGGTCCTGTGTCCAAGGCCCACCTCTGAGACCCCGTGCTGGCAGAGTGAGGTGGCAGGCAGTTGACAGAGCATAAGGGACACCCGTCTGCTGCAAAGGAAGGAACAACCACATTTGGTTTCTAGAAGGACTCTCAGCTCAGATGAAAGGTGGTCAGGGATTCTAGAGGAAGAAGCTATGCTTGGATGATGTGTGCAGAGAGATCAAGACAGAGCAACAGACAGAGACAGACAGACAGACAGACAGACAGACAGACAGATGGCAGAGACAGAGCGACAGACAGACAGACAGACGGCAGAGACAGACAGAGGGACAGACAGAGACAGACAGAGGGAGCTCCACCTTGCTGCTCACCAGGACAGGCAGCCAGAGGGATCTCAGTCACTTCCCACCCTCCACAGCCGACAATGGCAATCATTCATTCATTCACTGAGAGCAAGGGGTCCTCGGAAGGGGGCTTAGTGTCCAGCCATGGACTA